TTTGAAAGAAGTTCAACTTGATTAGTGGAATATGCACACCAAATATGAAGTCCCTATCTTTTATGATTCAAAAGTTATGGTTAAAGGTACGAAAAAGCTATTTTTAGCATATAAGCCACAGTCAAGGTCACCAGGTCATAAATCTTGGTGTCATTTTAAAGAACTTTATTAGTGTAGTATGCATACTAAATATGAAGTCTCTAACTCTCATGGTTTAAAAGTTATGGCGAAGGTCAAAGTTTGCGGAGAGAAAAGCTATTTTTAGCATATAGGTCACATTCAAGGTCACATTTCATTAATATTGGTGTCATTTGAAAGCACCTAATTAGTGAAGTATGCATACTAAATATGAAGTTTCTACCTTTCATGGTTCAAAAGTTATGGCGAAGGTTAAAGTTTGGAGACAAACAAACAAACAAACAGACAGACAGACAGGACAAAAACAATATACGTCTCGGTTCTATCGATCCCGGTGCATAAAAATTATTATTTTTCTTTTACTTCAGAATTTTATCAAAGTAAAAATGAGAGTTTCTGACTACAATACGCGTATAAATAATTTTACACATTTTTAAAGCCAGTGTAATGACAATGCATTTATATATACGGGATAAAAGCATGTTGTTATGCATATTCAAGGACATGTCCTTGATTTCGTTACACACCTTTTAAATCACCTGTAATGTCAGGTGTTCACGGCCAAGATCTGTCCTCTAATTTCACCCTATCTTAAAATATGAGCAATTGATCATATTGAACCCTGTACACAGGTAAGGTTTCACCTAGGGTCACTGTGATAAGCTGTCTTGCAGACACCTAATTAAGTACTGATGACGTTGTTTCGTATCAAAGAATTTTTTGATCAAGATAGGCCAGTCAGAGTGGGGGAGGATAGGATGATATTTTTATTCTTCGTATCAGTATATGGAAAAACCCTTACTTACGCAAAGCACATGCACATGTAATATTAAATATTGTGCTTTTGTTATAGAAAAACCATAGTGGATGTAATAAGTTAAACTGAAGAGAGGATGTTGCTATCTACACATATATGCTGCATTTCGAGTGCATGATGTAAAATCAAACAGTTGCGCAGTTGTTGAAATGCAAACATGAGTAAAATTTTAGTATTGTACATTAAGTTCTCGAGGATTTGATTTCCTGGATGAAGAACTGTTTGATAGTTTTGTATTACATTGTTAAATGTTAAACTTCGTGGTGGTCATGAATTAATTCATTGGTCTAGTATCTCTTCATACATCGAAAACAACGACAATTAAACCCCCACGAAAATTGGTGATTTCATAGTAGTTCAATGCAATCGATTTGACCGCGTTTTGTACTTCAAACTGTAATTTAAAAACATTTTGAAGAGGGTCTGGAAAAATTACATTTGATTAAGTATCATAAATTTTAATGTAAGCTATGATCACCAGTATGTAGTTATAAAGGAAAGGAAAAGAATGGGACGAACCAGACCAGAATTCGAACCCAACTCCACTGAATGTCCAGTCAGGTGTTCTACCAACTGAGCTATCTGCCATCAGCGATCGAACCCGGCTGACTGTTACTTTCCTCCCTTCTTAAAAATCTTCCCCCCCAACCCGGCCAAAGACTCCAACTCATGCTCTTCACCTGTCACCCTAAGGTATGCCACGGCACCAAATGTAACATAATGGAAGAAAAATGAGGCTATTCAGACTGATAATCGAACCTGGGCTTGGTGTCTCGCTTTTGTTTCTCCTTTCCTGTAATATTTTTCATTTTGGTGCCTTGGCCAAGATTTGAACATAAGATGTCGCGGCCAAAGCGCCAAATATTAATGATATGTGGTTACGGCCACATAATGTTACAGGAAGGGAGAAAATGCGACGGTCCAGACAAGAATCGACCTCGGGCCCCCAGAATCTCTAGTCAGGGGCTATACGAACAGAGCTATCTGTCGCCGGAGATTGCAGCTGTCTGCCACATGGTGAACATCTCTACACGAATGACAAGTTTACAACAGAATGTATTTACATTTTACAATAAATTAGTTAATCACTTTGAACCTCCCTGAAATTGGAACTTTGGACCCATCATCCATGTGACCAAAATTTTACAAATTGGCGAGAACTCATATTAAAAAGGTTGGCCGTTGAATTGAAATCATTCAAACATTTTGCAGGCTACATGCAGATGTCTTTGAGTAAAAAAATTTCAAATTAAAAATGAAACACATTTTCACAATAATATCACCAACTTAAATCATGAATCGTGATCAGTGGGCCATACATTTTTATATATAAACATGGCAATAGGGAGAGTGTTCGCTCGATTCTGTGCATACAGTTTGACTGTAAGTGTCTATGAATAAAGTAAAAGTTTTAAAGAAATTCAAAATCTTAATGTATTTACAATGCATTTGCATTTAGCCTTGCCCGGGCTGTGGTACCAGCTGATTCAAACAATGTTGATTATGAGTTTGTTCTTAGGCCATCCTTAAAAAAATGTTTGAATTGCCGCCTGAAAGGTTTCAGACACAGGAGGGAGGGAGGGAAATTATTTTATTTTTTTTAAATTGAAGAAAATTTTTTCAATTTTTGATAAAAGTCTCAGTAAATAGTAAATACATTTTCTGACTTTTAAAAAAAGTATCTACCATCAACAAAAAAACCCCTAATTTTACATAGATATGACACTATATTTCAGTGTTTTGTATGGTGCATGTGATACATGTAATGGGCAAAAAAAATTGATCAAATAAAAAAAAATCTTCCTACTTTTGGTCAATAAAATTTTTTCAGGAGGGGGCAATTTCAATGAGGCGGGAGGCAATTCCAAACAAACTATAATTTTATTTTGGCCTTATTTTAAGTTTCGTTGTAATCTCAAAAATGTCCACTTTGTCTTTTGAATGAAAGATCTTATTTTAGGCCCTGGGCCATAGATTCAGAAAAAAATTAGTGAAAAGGTGAGTACTCATAAAATAGTTTGTCTTCCAAATTCTATAAGAAGAGAATTTCATTGCGACCAGGTGCCACGAATTTCACAAAAATGAAGTAAAAGAATCATGGTTTTATTATAACTATGACAACAGTTACCTGATAGATGTTCAGGATGAAAGAAATTTTCAATTTAACTTTGACCAAGGGAGGAAAGGAACATAGAATCCACGAATTTGTTAGTCAAATATAGTTGAAAATTGTTTAGCCATTGATTGAGTGACTCACTGGGCTAATAAAAATATTGGAGAAATCTATCAAAAATATAAAAACAAAAAATATTATAATGTTATTTTAACACTCCAGGTTTAATTAACAATTCCCCTGTTATTGCATCAGACAAAAAATCACAACGAAATTGACCGGGAATCACAATTACGTCTTGCCATTGATCTAAAAAAATCCTACACTGTATTTATTCAGTTTCAGATTGAAACCTGCATACGAAACTGAAACTACATTTAGATATATAGGTATTTCGTCATGGGCTCCTTGTTCTATTGACCTCAGACATCTTTTATCTGTGATCTACGTTTTAAAATTACCTTTATGATATTTAATCTTGGACCTGATAGGATTAATGTGAAGACTGTTTTGTTTTCATTTTCTTTGTTTGTTGACAAAGTACTTGTTCGAGAATTATTTTTTACTGATGACAACATAGGGACTACTCGAGAGTATATATATTTCTTTGTCACTTTTCTATTACCTGTGTTCAGGTGAAATCAAATACCGATGTGTTATAAGACACTCTGTGTTGTCAATCTAATATATGTCTGATAACTTATATCTTGTAAATATATGACTTTATAATTTTCCAAATTATACACGTATGATTGTAAGACTTCAATATGATTTACTTCTTGGGGGAATAAGTAGGGTTTTCAATCTCACAGACAACGACGCGAAATTGGGTCGTTCCTGAGATCGATAATGTCTGATAGATTTGTCTAATTTATAATTGATAAAATGAATCACAGTTTACATTTTTCACTGACTGACTACGGAAACATAGTGTAATTATATGCATTTAAATATTGAAACCAATGTAATGTGTAACTGCAGTCAAAAGGAAGATAGATTTGGCATTCATTTTGGATCCATTTAATTTTTTTTACCTTCTATTCAATTAAAATGCTTTTTAAAAAGTGTATTCATATACACACCAGCATTAATAAACGTCTATTAGCTTTTTAATTTTAGTTGAGTCATTAACTTATATGTTTTTTCGTATTTATAGTATCAAAACATTCGCAATTATTTTCTAGCAATACACGTGTACTCTTAGAGCAACTGCTTTACATGCAAAAATATACAGTGTACTTGTAATTTTGAGAAGTGAACAGTTGCTTGGTAAGGGCTTGAAATTGTTCAGTATACCAATACATGGCCAAAATAATATATATATATACATTTTTAATTTTAATGACTGAATATTCCCTATCTTTCTGATTGGCTTAGATCCAACATTAGAGAAAAATACTATGTTGTATTCACCTCCACGTGACATTCCATGTGAACATAATGATCTTTATATTTTCACTATATTGATTAAGAATAGATCGTGAAATTCCAAACTGATATAAATAGATGGAAATTTATTTCATTTGCACCTGACTTCCACTCGTTGAATATAACATTCAGATACATGAAATATAGGGTGTGAGGGAGGAGTGGGATGAGGGTAGAGGGGTGTAGGGGGCTATCCCTCTCCCCACATTTTTTTCTATACCCAAATTAATATACATGTATTTTGTTATGTTTGTTTTAAAAATTGCGTTTGGCAATGCTAGGACCTTAGCAAATATAGATACGTACACGTAATATTTCATGATTTGCTTACTGAATTCGCTTCCATTTAATAATTTGAATCATGCAAATGTATAAAAAAAATTATTGCTGTTTTCTCAGTCAATACGATCATTTATTCACCTTCGAAGTACATATTCACCGCGCACTTCGGGCTCGGTGAATATATCGTATTGGTAATGTTTGAAATTAATACGCCCAGCCTACCTGACTCGTACATGTTCTTCACCAAGTCCAAGAATCTTTTATCTCTTCTCCAGTAATCTGGTGCAAACCCTCCCGGAATAATTAGAGCAGCGAGATCCTGAAACACAGGGAAAAAAATATCCGATAATTTTATTATATTGATTTGAAACTTTAACTTTTTATGTTAAAGAATTTGATAAATTTCTCCGGCCTTTGATAAATAAAGGGTTTCAAGTAAAAAAAACTGTTGCTAATTCTTTATTTGAAAAAATAAAAATCTCTTTTCATGTTTATTAATACAAGTAGACAGATTTCATCTTACATGTTGATAGAAAAATATAGAAATTATATTTCGGCCTTACAAATTCAGGAAATATCTATAAAACATTATATTTTTTAAATAAAAAAATGTAATCTTGAAGAGAAATATAATATTTCTATGATTTCTTTTTATTTTATTTTTAAAACCGAGAACTTAAAATATCACATGTATTTTAAACAAATGATGATGATATCTATCTAAAAAAAGACATCATTATTTCCATCCATACTCGGAAAAGATTTTAAATTAATAACAAAATTAATCTAAAATTAAACAAGTTATTTTTATTGACAATGCGCTGATAACTTATCTATCGTAAATTAATGATAAATCGAAAGTTTAAAACAAACAAACAAGCAAACAAGCCATTGGATTTGACCTATGTCTAACATTGAGATACCTGGGCTCTGACGTCATCAATACCCTCTTCCGCCTTGCATGGGTATCCATGTTTAGAATTGTACGTCTTTCCTTTTTCGGGTCCTATAGTAAATGTTTCGTACCCTTCCTCCCTCAGCCGATAATATGGGTACCATAACTACAAGACAAACGCAAATTAATTTAATAAAAAAAATTAATGTATTAAAAAACAGTATGGATTTTATTTTCAAAGTTTCAATTTGTAAAAAGGCTTTAATAAATTAGATTTTAAGTTGAGCATTAAAACAATCAGAAATGTAGGTATACTCGTATACAGCCTTAGATTTTTCACACATTGCCTTCTTTATATAAATTTCATGGACGAAAACAGGGTTGAAGTGCAAGTGATTCCAGTTTCGTTGACTTTTTTTTCATATTTTATATCAGTTCAGGATATTTTAAACAAGTGGCCCTAGTGGAAAAAAAGTTTTTATCTAATATTTACTTGGATTCTACATGTTATATCAGATAGTTTGCCAGGAAAGTATCCAATCTCTACCAAGAGTTGTCGTTCGGTTCTCTAACTATAAGTGGAACGATAACTCTGGGTAGAGATTGGAAAATATCGGGTACATATCGGTATGAATAAAGAGAGATAACTCAGAGAAACGCACAGTAAATATAGATTGTGATTAACCCTCATAAATTTTGAGATTTTTATTAAAAGCTCGCAAAAATTATGAAGTAAATATACTAATAAAAAATAAACAAACAAATAAATAAATAAATATAATTCTTTTTTTAAAAAAGAATGACATCAAGGAATGACTAAAATTTTAATCAAATACGTCCTCTTCAAGCTATCGTACATTTTGTACACCATGGATGTTGAAACGAAAGTAGGCCTACAAATTATCCACAGTTACGGCGAGACGTTGCGTGGTTGTGCCTAATATTTGACATAATTACAATGTAAATGTAGTTACATGGTAAAAGCAGAAATAAGTACTTACTTCAAGGTCTTCATAATTGAACTCCGTTAAAATGCCGACTTTCTTTGCCATTGTTGAAATTGTTAATTTCTTAGTCGAAGGGAAGTAACTCTCAAATCAATGGTAGCCCATTCCAAGGCTCTGAATTTCCTTCAGAACTACATGTACATGTAATATATTAATTTTGAGCATTATTAAAAAAAAATCTGAAATATTGTTTGAGAGATATAAAATTTTATTAATTTATCAGATTGTTTTAGTTAAAACATCATGCGTTATTTAATTATTGCAAAACGTCGCCGATCATGTACTCAAATTCTAGTACTAAAGCACTACAATATAAGATCAGTGAGTAGAAAGGTTTTGTATTTTTCTATAATTGTCAATTTCATGTATTGACCTTTAAAGAACCAGGTAGGGCACGTGTACATGTATTTACTGTATCAAATCACACAAATCTGCTTCTAAAATTGACCATCCGAAGGCTTAACAATTTTTATAGAGATAGTTGTCTTAAAGTTAATATATAAGTGGCTTCTACGCATGAAACATTGACTGTACTTATAAAAGTTCACACGAATTTATAGATCTCTACCCCATGCACTTGGTTTCCAAAGTACGTAGCCGCATGCTTTATCGAGTCAAACTTAATAACTGATATAATGAAGAAATTAAAAAAAATAATACGCAATACGTCTATCTATTGATTATTTCAGCAAGACAATTGTTCAAGAATGTATTTTTATATTACCCGCTAATAATCAAAGACAAGTCAAATGAAATGAATTGCAATAATAAGACGTTGTAACGTCACTTGTAACTAAACCTCTCTATTAATAACTGATAATAAAGATGCTATGGCCAAATATGGAAAAATCCTGTCCGGCTCATAAATAGAACACTATTAGACCTAGAGCTATCAAATTTGGCAAAAGTATACATCTTAGGTAGAAGGTGTGTCGCGACCTAATTCAAGGTCACTGTGACCTTTGATTTAAGTGAAATTTAAAAAAAAAAACTAAGTCTTTTAAATTCTTAATTTCATATAATCCTAAAAAATGTAAAAATATAGTTGTATCCATATTAAAAAGTGATAAATCAAGTAAATACTTATTTTTTCATCATATACTTTACAGCATGATCTGTAACAAATGTCAGTGTTAATGAGAGGAATTCAGTTTGTCCCATGGGCATAATTATCAAGCACTGGTCAAGAAGAATTTTGATAGCAGAAATTTGCATGTCAAATTAGAGAGAAATTAATTAGTTTTGTGTGAGGAGCTAACTGCCGTAGAGCATTGGTGTTATCTATATCCCTTTGGGAATTGGGCAAATGGGCAGACAGCCTGTTGGATTAAAAATAGCTCTTGTTGGCTAGCCTAAGTTTTAAAATGACTTTGATGAAAAGTAATTAAACTAATTTGATATTGCATAATAAACTAATAATCTGATATTGTAATATTGATTAATTTAAAAACTAATTTTATGGGGTGGGGTTGAATCAGCATGCCTACTTGTCCATATGAATTAAATATGAAACCTGTCTGACATTAAATCTCAAAAAAAATTCATTGAGTATTTTATATGTTTTAAAAGTGTTTTAGGGTAGAAAGTGCAGATCCATTAATATCTTGGGAGTAATGAGTAGACAAGCATCCAGTCAAAGATTAATTAATGAGTTCAATGTAGGAATGCTAGCTGTCTCAATCATTTCTTTAGAGCATCCCTGATCATCATCAAGCAGCCTTATCTGTATCCTTTGGGAATTAGACAGAAGAACTGGTGGTCAGTTTATAGCATATGTCATTTGATGGCCAGCCTTTATTTTCAAAATTAATTTGGTATAGATTAAGTTGTTAAGACTAATTTGATATTGTTTAATATGATGGGCATTCGACTAAGTCTTACACAACCAGTATAGAAATCTATCAATGATGTAATATTTGTTATAATTAATGCCCACAGCAAAAGGGATAGATAAACAAATACTGTAAGGAATGGAAAAATCATGGAAATCTTAGAATCAAGGTTGACATGATTTTCTTGCACTCTAAACTGTTGAAGATAATTGTAATTTTTTGACGGGCGTATCATGCTGTGGCGTGGCACTTTTTTTAATTTCACAAATCGTTTTGTAAACTGTAGTGATGATAAAAGTATGAAACCTGCATCGCATTTTACAACCTTTAAAATTCAACGGTCTTAAGTCAACAAGTTGTCGTTGGCCCCTTGATAACTTCAGGGATCCAATGACAATGTGTTGAATCAGGACTCCTGACATGTTCAACTTCAGGGATCCCACGACAACAGTTACTTGTTGACTCAGTACCACTGACATGTTCAACTTCAGGGATCCCATGACAGTGTGTTGAATCAGGAACACTGACATGTTCAACTTCAGGGATCCCATGACAGTGTGTTGAATCAGGAACACTGACATGAACAACTTCAGGGATCACATCACAGTGTGTTGAATCAGGACCACTGACATGTTCAACTTCAGGGATCCCATAACAATGTGTTGAATCAGGACTCCTGACATGTTTAACTTCAGGGATCCCATGACAGTGTGTTGAATCAGGACTCCTGACATGTTTAACTTCAGGGATCCCATGACAGTGTGTTGAATCAGGATCACTGACATGTTCAACTTCAGGGATCCCATGACAACAGTTACTTGTTGACTCAGTGCCATGCACTGACATGTTCAACTTCAGGGATCCCATAACAGTGTGTTGAATCAGGACAACTGACATGTTCAATTTCAGTGATCCCATGACATTGTGTTGAATCAGGACCACTGGCGTGACCAACTTCTGGGATCCCCGGCAACATTTACTTGTTGACTCAGGACCACTGACGTTGTGAGAACACTAAGTGCTTTTCAACTCTTCTCTTGAAGCTCATATTCAGCACACATTCATAAAACATGGTCATGCTTTTTCGAGAGATTTTTCGATTATTTGTATGTTAACTCTAGGTTGTGCCCAGTCTTAGCAACAGAAGCCATAATTTGATAGAGAGTCTATAAATTGAATAGTCATATTTTAAGAAATATTTCTCATCTACACCCATACCTTATTTACCATAAGTAAATTATTTTCTCAGTTTAATTTGGTTCAAATTAAACAACAATTTAAAAGGAAGATATCGAAAACGTTGAATTACGATCAAATTTTCTCCCAAAAGCTTATTTAACCTTTCAATCATCTTAGAGAAGAGTTATTGTTTGCACTGGAACTTTAGTGTGCATGTTGCGAAAAAAAGTCTTTTATTTGAAATGGCTAATATCAAGATGATAAAAATATCGAATATAACAACGTAATTATTGACACGAATCAGACTGAAGTCATCAATATTGACTTATGAGGAAACACAACGCCAGCTATCAACGAAGTTATTAGGAATTACATATTCTGAAAAGCAAAAAGCAATCCACTTAAAAAATGACACAGAGTAACTGTCAATGTATAGATCTGCGAATAATGAACTCCGTGGTACCTTAAATAGATTAAGAAACATAGAAAAATAACCGTATAGCGGGTTTTCTTGGCGGGTGTAAAATATGGTGATTTGCTTTCTCAGAAGTCTGCCAATAATTTTGGCGTAATTTATTTTAGCGGACACAGAGTTTCAACTCTTTGCAGATGAACACTAATAAGAGCACTGAATATATCAGCGATTAAAATTTTAGCGGGCTCCCATCAAAACTGAAATCCGGCAAAATTAGCGCCCCCCCCCCCCACACACACACACACACTAAAATGACCCGCTATACGGTACCTTTCGTTGGCCATTCTGAAACACTCAGCCTAGACCGAGAGCTGAATCTCGAATTTGAACGCCATTTCAAAAAAATTCGGATAATTTTTTTCTATCCCTGATAGCGTTGCTTGTAAAAGGCCCGGTAGATATTTCGGTATAGATCCAAAGAAGAGACTCTTGTTTGTATTGATTCACGTTAACGTTAGTGGTTTAGGAGGTTAGAAAAAAGAAAACTTTTTTGAAATTATTGTGATGAATGTATGAAGAATAATGTATGAAGATATAATTTTCAAAACCTTTGTATTTAGGAAAACTCTACTTTTATCACGTAGGCTCCATTAGACACTGAAATTTTTCACTTTTAAGGTAATGTATGATCTTTTGAGTTTTATTTTGAATTCGTAATTATCGGAAGCAAAAAATGTTAACTGTAAAAAAGGAAATTTAAGTGAGCAAAAAGGAGGAAAAAAATTACCAGTTAATTTATATGCTTATTTATGATAGAATTAAACCTTGTTTGCATACGGAAACGATTTATTTATGCATTATGATTGATTTTATTGCCATATTTTACTATGTACATCTACCCACTTCGTTGATACCTTTAAGATAATATAGGTATATGTCATAATTTAAATTAACTCAATATGCAAGAATATTATCTTCTTATACTTGGTTATTCAAAAATTTCCGAAGTTACCCACGTGCAAGAAAGAAGTTAAAATAATTTATCAATAATAAATCAACTTTATTTTACCCGGATCTTTCGATCTATCAAAATGTTTCCGATTTTCTTTCTCTGGACTTTTGTGAGCTCGGGTTTAGCTGCTATTCCTTCGATGTCTACAGGTAATGTAGTATGGCTTTTGTAATAGCATGTTCAACAGATTTGTCAAAATGGCATTTTTCAAATTTTTATCAACAAATTACTATTGAAATTTTAGACAAATTCAGTGAAAAACAATTAAATTACATCCATTTATTGTCTACTTCCAAATATATATACAATCAATTCTTAAATAAATATAGGCACTTCAACTCAGCAGATATTTCTTTGTTGATTCAGCGTTGAATCAACGTTAAACTTTAACGTTGAATTATCGCTGCACTTCAATGTTGAATCAACGTTGAATTTGGTTGCATATAAAAGTTGAGGGAACGTTGAGACATCAACATTATTTCAACGTCAATTTTCAACGTTGAATAAACGTTGAAAATAGGTTGATTATTTGTTGATTTATAGTTGAATTTTGGTTGCAAATGAAAGTTGAGTCAACGTTGAAACTTCACCATTGTTTTAACGTCAAATATCAACATTGAAAAAAGTTCATTTGACTTTTGAGTGAAATTTTTTGGTTGTTCAAAGGTTGATATTTGATTGAAATCACGTTGAATGCATGTGCATTGAATTAACCACGTACATTGAAATGGGTCAGAGGAATATTTTTAAATCAATCTTTCGTACAGTTAAGGTAAGAATTAATATACATGTAAATCCAAAAATGAGCGCAACTTTTGTGCGCAATGAATTAACACTTTTTCCAATGGGTGGCACTGTAGCTCTCTGGTCTACCATTGCAATTTTTTTTTCCAGATAAGCGAGCTAAAGATCTGCAGCTACCAGTAGTAACAGCGAGTTATGAATGATGAGAGATTACTAGTACTTACTTATTATTATTAGTCAAATCAGAACAATGTGGTATAATTGTGAGTTTTGTCTTCGTCGTTCAGATTTTATGTTTAAACTGGTCGTTCCTTTGGCACACACTGCTTTGAGCGTTTGCTCTGTGTGTTAGGAATGAACGTTTTATATTTTTTTTTCGTTTTCTGTTTGTTGTTGCTGTATTTCGTTTTCTTTAAATAAATTGTAATAAACTCTTCAGAATTTTTCTTACATTTTCAGTTAAATGTTATAAATTCTCCAGAAAGTTTCTTTTGTTTTCGATTAATTATTACTTATGTAACAAATGTTCATGAAACTCTCTTTTCGGTTACTCATTGCTTGTATGGGATGATTTGAGCTATTTTTAGAACGTTGATTAACATACAATGAAACACACATTTCTTTAGAAATGGGCAAACGATCAAATGCTGCATTCGAATGTACTTGTAGAACAGTTATTTAATAAATGTAACAGCCAATCAAATTGAAGCTCTACATAAACATCGCGTAAACACGTGTTCGATAGATAACCCGTTGTGGTAGCTCAAATAAACATGATGGATTCCTAATTACATGTATGTACATATTCGTTGCAAAACATGATTTACAGAAGCGGGGACTCACTAATGTTCTCCTCTAACTTTTTAAAAATTCCAATGTCAATGTAACTCGTGTTGCTAGTCACAAAAAGTGGGGTGTCCTTATAAGCATTACGAAGATTACATGTATTTTTCTTTTTCGTTTCTAAAGAAATGACCATGGGCGTGTCATTATGTAACAATTGACTTTCGATCAGGAAAACCCAAACTTTCCATTCCATTCAAAAGTTAACAACTCATAGTATTAGTTTTGCCAGGTTGTAGTGTTTATAACTAATCAAGATTTGAAATAAGAATACATACAAAATGGGATCAGGTGTTTCGCATGAAACGCTGTATTCGCATAATGACGATTATATTATGCAGTTTTTGAAGAAAATTATTTTTCGCACGGAGTATGTCGATACGCCTTCAAAGTAACATTGCACGGCAGCGGACCACGTAAGGGTACGAAAGCCCAGAAGGCTCATTCGAGATTCGAGGTTCAAAATACGAAATTCGAGATTCGAAATACGAGATTCGAAATTCGAGAATCGAAATTCGAGTTTCGAGATTCAAGATCAAGATTGACCAATCAAAAGCAGGTTCAACATTTGATTACTCCCCTTTATTATGATTTTACTTTCAAGAAATCGTTTAATATATATATAACAAATGATTCATTTGATTAAATTACAATGCAAGAAAGAGTATTATATATATTAGCAGGAAATTTAAATAATCATTGGATTTTTGATCAGCAAGATATACTTCAATTTATATTATGGCTTCTTAAATATTAAATAGAATACATATATCAGGAGTATATAATATATTTTTGAATTGTCTACTTTGTTTCCGAGGTTGAGGACATATAAGTAAAGTTATAAATAGGTGTCAAGTGTCTAATGATTAACAATAACCCCACCCCTACCAACCGGGTGTCGCTAAAACGTGGAACTGAAAACGGAACGGAAATCGGAACGAAACGGAAAACAAAAATTTATGTTAAGCAAATAACCTACATCTGGTATAAATCTGATAAAAGAAGCGATATTTTTTTTTATATAAAAGTCATACCTAATAAAAATGTATCGTAAAATATGATATATTAATGAGTCATGCACCCCTCAGAACTGGCACGTGTGCATGCGATGCAAAGGCGTCGGAACCGGGTGGAGGGCTTACTTTTTTTGCAAAGATGTACATAATATATGCAATAAATATTGGGGTTTATCTTTTTTTGTAGGATTAGCCCCCCCCCCCCCCCCCATTTCAATAACCCCCCCCCTGAAATTACTTCCAACGCCTACACGATGGTTTATAAAATACATACCAACTAGACTCAGATCCTAAGTATTCATCTGAACATTTATTACTTATCTTTTTTTTTTTCAAAAACCCATTCATAAAAAAAGATATTTTCATGAAATAGGCAGAAGAAAAGGACTACTAATATATGTACATACATATATAAAATAAATAACGAGTTCCGAAAATATGTTTATGCAAGCAGTGGAGAATGCAGGAACCTTGAAAGGGGGGTACATGTAGTTTGGGTTCAGGGTAAGAGCCCAGAGCCACAGAAATTGATTTATTACATCTTATATATATTTTTGACACAAAAGGGGGGGGGGGCTTTTGCAAATTTTTAGACCTCTCCGATGAGCGGAGAAAACAATCTTAGATTTTTACGGGGTTATACCCCCGCTCCCAGCCCCGCCCCCCCCCCCCTACACACACATTCACCACATACAAACACACCCTTACATCATTGAATGTAAAGATGCTACAATTTATCACAGGAAAATTTTTAAATTCCGTCTATCCTGAATTTTCATAAATACGGATCTCTTTTGTATAAAATTTTCACAACCAGTGTTGCATTAGATCTAGGGGTTTGTCGACGAGGTTTTCTCCATTTGTAATCAAAGAATTTTTTACATTTTATTCTCTTACCACCGTTTATCTAGTTATTTGCCCCCCACCCACCGCCCTACTTTTTTCCAGAATAAACTTATTACTATAGAAATTGACCCCCCCCCCCCTTTGTTAATGTAATCAAAATAGCAAATAAGTGTACAAAATTAGTACTGAAAGATGCTGGGGTTGGAACTTACCCCCTCCCGAATCAAACACTTGATTTCTTTATTTCGCTTGTCACCCCCCCCCCTCCCTTCCACACACACACTTTTAACATGCTCAAATTCGATTCTTCGTCAATGCAATGTCAGCGATTTTCGTGACGAAGAGACTGAAAATGACTAAATCAACTTGTATTTAATGATGAGGGATTGAATAAGTATTAGATATATTGTTTATGAAAAAATGTGTGTTTTTAGTGATTTATTCTGAAGTAATATATTCCGTTTTCCGTTCCGTTCCGCTTTCCGTTCCGCGTTTTAGCAACACCCCTACCCACCCCACCTGCTTATTTTTCCAAACACACTGAAAATGTTACTTTGTAAAACTTGAAAGACGTTCGTTTTCCTGATAGAGGTAATACATAAAAATTAAGTATTTAATTACTTATCTTCATCTAAGGCTTTAATTTATTGAATTGATTAAAAATTATATATACAATACAGATTGGCAATATGAATGCGGCATTTATTTTATCTTATATACGTATTTACTATTTTGTTTAATGAGAAAATAAAATTATTTATGTATTTTTCAAAATGTAATCCAAATTTTATTTTTATTTTTTTTTAATACATAAAACATTTTTTCTTGCATTATCATTTTAGCAAATGACCCATTTGTTATAAATATATTCAACGATTTCTCGATAGTAAAAACAAAACAAAGGGGAGTAATCAAATGTTGAACCCGGTTTTGATTGGTTAGTTTGGATCTTGAATTTCGAAACTCGAATTTTGAATCTCGAATTTCGAATCTCGTATTTCGAAACTTGAATCTCGAATGAGCCTTCTGGGCTTTCGTATAAGGGGGACAAATGTGTTGTGAAACTTTTTAAAAAGGAATATGCCAAAAATAGTATCCAGTGGTCACCGGATCTTGCCGCTAGTAAGAAAGCTTCCAAATGTGCATTGCTTTGTAAGGAACGATGTATTCCACGACTGAATAACATATACACCGCTGAATTAAGTATAGAATTTTTGATTCCTCTACTTGCCGAAATGCAGACGATCCATTACTTCAACTTTTTATGGTTCATTCCGATATTTGAAGATCTTAGATACATTCGACATAATGAATATGTAGCTCTGGAGCCTGTCCTACACGGAAACTATCAAAAATTTAACTCCAATGGTGGCTACGAGGAAACAGCTGGTATGAAAGAGTTAATGGCCACATTTTGTCATTGGACCTGGAACATCAGCGGTCACAAGTACATGGTCTGTGATCTCCAGGTGTGTTTAATATATTTTCTACCAATTTTCATTTTTTAAAATTAGTAATGCAAATTTGGGCTAGGTAAGGATTTTACCGGCTATATTGTTGAATAAGATAAATTGATCTTTGTTTGTTAGCATGAAGAATTTTCCTGTAAGGGTATACGATGAAAAAAATTTGTAAAGGACCAGTAAATGTGTGTTAATTTATATATAAGTAGAAAAAAAATCGGTAATATATTTGCGAAC